ATAAAGCGTTGTTAAAAAAAATTACCTGATTCATGATTCAAAGCAAATTTGTCAAGCCCTGCTATAGAGAATCCCTTGTGTGCGCTAGTAAGCAGTGTGTGTCTCCACAAACACACAGGCTCAGCAAAGCAAGACACTCCCCTTCCTTCCTCCCTCCTTCCTTCTCCAAGCTAATTGATGGACAGCTGCTTTTATAGCCTCTTTATGTAATATTTGATTTACTTTTTTATTTCCCTTTAATAGAATTGTTATATTAATCTTTGAAGCCAGGTTTAGCAAGCCCCTTTGTTTTTGGGGAGGCACTTCAGCTGGACGAGTGCCCCAGCCACTGGCCCGTTTCAGGGCTACCCAGTCTTTTTGAGTGCTGTGAACCTGCCAGCCTGCAATTCTGATGTTGTGATACCCAGTAGTAGTGATGACCGATACCAATACTAATATTGGTGCCAATGCAGAGAATTTGGTACTCCTACTCGCCCAAATGCCCCGATACCTTTCCCGATACCGGAACTTATGGTCAGAGGAAGATTTCCTCTGACCGGCAGTGCCGCGAGGGAACATGGAGCCGGGAAGCTGGCTCGATGCTGTTTGGCCAGCTCGATGCTGATTGGCCGGGAAGCCGGCTTCCCAACCAATCAGTGTCAAGCCGGGCAAACAACTATGATAATATGGCGACACGACCCCCACCCTGCAGACAAATCATTCCCCTCACATAGATCCTTAGCAGCAGTCATTACCGTACCAGTCCCTCAGCCAGCTGGGCAGACACCACTCTCCAAGCTCTGCTGGATCTGCCCACGTCTCCTGTGTGTACAGCGTCCACGTGATCGGCCCTCAGCCTGCTACTGCGGATGCACAGGATTGCTGAATGAGAGCGCTGGGCAGTCTGCGCATGCGCAGTAGCAGGCTGAGGGCCAATCACGTGGACGCTGTACACACAGGAGACGTGGGCAGATCCAGCAGAGCTTGGAGTGCGGTGTCTGCCTAGCTGACCGAGGGACTGGTACGGTAATGACTGCTGCTAAGGATCTGTGTGAGGAGAATGAGGTGCCTGCAGGGTTGGTGTTGTGTCACCTTATTGTAAGATCTGTTTGGCCGGCCTAAATCCCCATTGGCTGGGAAGCCAGCTTTCCCAGCCAATCAGCATCGAGCCGGCCAAACAGAATGGAGTCGGCTTCCCGGGAAATCAAGAAGCCAGACGGTGGGTAATGACACATCGCCTGTCTTCCTGATTGCCCGGGAAGGCTGCTCTATGCTACCGGAAGTACCAGTATCGGCACTTGGTATCGGTGAATACCGAAATATAAATATCAGTACTCGTACTCGATACCGAAAAACTGGTATTGGTGCATCCCTACCCAATAATATTTGCGAATATCTGGAAACCCTCCGCCTCCTTTGTGTTTAGGTGCCATAAGTTGTTCTAGGTCTATTCAATGATGTTTATTCCACATATAGGATGTGAAAGACGTGTGGTGATTGGTACATGAAGGTGCTTTGAATGTCGATTGGAATGGCTTGAAAGACATAAGAGATACTTTCGAGGATATTCATTTTTATGATTGGAGGCTCTGCCAAACCATGGCAATTGGGGTTTCTCCCAATCTTGAAGAGTCTTTTTTTTTCTACGCCTTCAATGATGTTGATTTTTATATTAATACATTTGGTAATAATAATTTTCATTTTATTGTACCGTGTTTGTCTTCTTTTTTTTTCTCTTTTATCGTCATTCCGTGAAATATAAGTAGCCTACGACGATTAGCTGTAATCTATAAAACTCCCACAAGCAACAGGATATAAAATTACTTTACGCCTTTTACAAGTGCAAATCGAAACGAAGGGGTGATTCACGCCTATGCCATCTATACCATGTGCGGCGAGTACATTTTTTCCACTGAATCACCACCGAGCGAACAGACTGTCATTAATTCTGTCGACAGTGTCTATTATTCTGGTCCAAAACCGAGCTACAAGCCTGCACACGTCACACAGCAAGCCCACTAATCTCCAGAAATTGGAGGCTCTCTTCCACACTGACCTTTGTTATGTGTTCTGGAGGATGCAGCAAACGGTGTGCCAAGGCTGGCAAATTCTAACATGCTCCGTTAAAAGAGTCTGTGATCCTAAATTATTAGTGACGTTAGGAAAAGATCACAATGTGTGCTGTTACCCTTCCAGCTTTTCTTCATTTTAACAATCTTTTTAAATCTTTTCATTTACTTCCCTTTCCTTTTACTTTTCCTTCCATCCTCTCCCCTCTCCTCCCCTGTTCTTTATTTCCTTTCCTTTCCCCTACCTTCCTTTCTTTCCTTTTCCCTTCCCCTCTTCTCCTGCCCCACCCTTTACCCTTTTCTCCTTTTTTTTTTTGTTTTTCTTTTCTTTCCTTTTTTTCTTTTCCCATTTCCTCTTTATTTCCTTTTTATTTTTTTTCTCTTTTCCTTTTAAATTTCTCCTATTTCCATTTTCTTCGCTTTCTTGTTTTTACTCATCCTTCCTTTCTATTTTTCTTTTACTTCTAGTCTTTATTCATTTCATTTCTTTCGTTTGTTTCCCTTTTTTTGCTTTTTATTTTCTTTACCTCTTTCCTATTCCTCCTCTATTCTTTCCTTTACTTTTTTCTTTGCTTTTTCCCTTTTTTTTCCTGCCTTTTGCCCCTCTGTTACAGTTTCCATTTATTATTTTACTATTCTTGTTCCTTCATTTTGTCCTTCTATTCCTATTAATTTTCCTCTTCCATCGTTTTCACTCATCCCCTCCTCTCCTCCTCTTCTCTTGTCTCCCCTCCTCTTCTCTTGTCTCCCCTCCTCTTCTCTTGTCTCCCCTCCTCTTCTCTTGTCTCCCCTCCTCTTCTCTCTCCCCTCCTCTTCTCTCTCCCCTCCTCTTCTCTCTCCCCTCCTCTTCTCTCTCCCCTCCTCTTCTTTTCTCTTTCCTCTTCTTTCCTCTCCCCTCCTCTCCTTCTCTCCCCTCCTCTTCCCTCTTCTCTCTCCTCTTCTCTCTGCCCTCCTCTTCTCTGCCCTCCTCTTCTCCCCTCCCTTCTTCTCTCCACTTTTCCTGTCTCCTAAATTTTTCTTCCCTCCTCTCCTGTTTTCTCCTGAATTACTTGCATTTGTTATGTATTTAAAGCACAACTCCGAGCAGAATTTTTCTTAACCCTTGCAGTGGGGCTACCTCCGCACAGCAAGGGTTAACTGCTCTTTTTGTCTGGGTTAAAAAAAAAGTTAGACTCGCTCGATCCTCAGAGCCAGCTTGCTCTTAGACTTGTCCCTGGATCCTTTCTCCCCCTCCGCTGCAGTGGTATAAGGTTTTGTATATCATCATGTTCTTTAGACGTTAGGATGCTGAGGAACATACCTCAGGGACCGGAGTAGCAGCCAGCCGGCTCTGCGGTTTGGGTGAGTATAACTTTTTTTTTTGCAGCAAAAGGAATGTTGTCTTTTAAGGTAAGACAATATATTGCCGGTAACTGGTCACCCAGCTCGAGTAGCTGGTGTCCACAACTTCAAATCCCCCACTACAACCACCCTGAGGTCAGTATGATGAGTTTTGATGAGAATTCTCTGCTCCACACTGAGCTGTGTGGGAGAGATAACACAGCTGACCAAATCAGAGGTGCCTTGCTGACGTATTCTCTGATTCAGTAGTAAAGCACACCAGAGCGTTATGAATAACTCGGAGAACAGGAAAATGCACCATAAATAATACATGTAACAGAACATCAAAATGCATCACAAATGCCGGAACATACGTCTGAAATTCAACGTCCAAAAGGATCACTAGGTGCATGGATTTTAAAGATGCAAATGTGAACCAGCTCATCTCTACCTTCCTTTCCTCCCTACCTTCCTTTCCTCCCTACCTTCCTTTCCTCCCTACCTTCCTTTCCTCCCTACCTTCCTTTCCTCCCTACCTTCCTTTTCCCTCTACCTTCCTTTTCCCTCTACCTTCCTTTTCCCTCTACCTTCCTTTTCCCTCTACCTTCCTTTTCCCTCTACCTTCCTTTTCCCTCTACCTTCCTTTCCTCTCTACCTTCCTTTCCTCTCTACCTTCCTTTCCTCTCTACCTTCCTTTCCTCTCTACCTTCCTTTCCTCCCTACCTTCCTTTCCTCCCTACCTTCCTTTTCCCTCTACCTTCCTTTTCCCTCTACCTTCCTTTTCCCTCTACCTTCCTTTTCCCTCTACCTTCCTTTTCCCTCTACCTTCCTTTTCCCTCTACCTTCCTTTTCTCTCTACCTTCCTTTCCTCTCTACCTTCCTTTCATCTCTACCTTCCTTTCCTCTCTACCTTCCTTTCCTCCCTACCTTCCTTTCCTCCCTACCTTCCTTTCCTCCCTACCTTCCTTTTCCCTCTACCTTCCTTTTCCCTCTACCTTCCTTTTCCCTCTACCTTCCTTTTCCCTCTACCTTCCTTTTCCTCTCTACCTTCCTTTCCTCCCTACCTTCCTTTCCTCCCTACCTTCCTTTCCTCTCTACCTTCCTTTCCTGCCTACCTGCCTTTCTACTCTACCTTCCTTCCTTTCCTCCCTACCTGCCTTTCTCCTCTACCTTCCTTTCCTCCCTTTCCTTCCTTTTCTCTCTACCTGCCTTTCCTCCCTACCTTCTTTTCCCCTCTACCTTTTTCTCTCTTTTTCCCCTCCCTTCTTCTGCTGTGTTACCTACCATGCATGTTTAATGTATGTTGGCAAGGCCACCTGTATTCTCCATCAGAAGCCTGGCAGACAGGGTGACATCGCAGAAGCACAACTGGGAGACGGGGCAAATTGTCACCATCCCATAACAGGAAGTGTCTGCACAAAGATCTTCATGGCAGGATCACCTGGGATTATTTTTTATGAAAGCCGCAGTATTCAAATAATTGAAAATTACTCTTAAAATGATGGTAAAAGATTTTGGTGATTGGGGTTACCTCTACTTCGAGGAGTGAGACAATAAGGCAGCTCTTTTAGACTCAGTAAGTTACTAAGCAACTAACCGTAAAATAATAAGTTGCCTTTTTCTTCTCTTTAGCCAATACCAAGTCCCGCAGCCACGAGTTTGCTGAGAAGAACTCGCTTGAGAAGTATGAATACGTCCTCCACCCAAGAACCACAGGGTTCACCTTCATCGTGGATCGTCTGAGGGAAGGTACTGAGTTTTTATGTTTATTGTGTACTGTCAACCATTGCATAACCTAGAAGAAAAGTGAACCCCCTGAAACAAATGTCTGCACCACAAAGGTTACATGAAAATTAACTTTATTATAAATTACACCACTCTATATAAATGTACAACACCCCACCCATATAATACAAATTTTTTTTTTGGTGGTGGGGGGCACCACCAAAAAAAAAATAATGATATCCAATACACCAGTTCCAGGGGCATAACTAGAAATCACAGGGCCCCATAGCAAAATCTTGTAAGGGGCCCTGTGATTTCTAGATAAGGCCACCTGATAACACAAACAGCCCACCTGAGGGTGACTTTGCAGCGCCCACCATAGACGCTCTATGGTGAGCTCTGCAGGGTCTCATGGGGGCGGTCAAGCCCTCTTACCTGTCTGACCGATCCTCTGTCCGCCTCCTTCTCCTCCCACGATCGCTTGCGGGCCCCCGCCTCCTCTGTCACTGGGCCCCGCCTTCTCCGTCACTGGGCACCACCTCAAACGCCGGGCCCGCCTCCCCATCGCTAAGACCTGCCTCCTCGATCGCTGGGCCCCGCCTCCTCCATCGCTGCCGACGACGGGCCCAGCCACCTCCCCCAAAGCTGCTGGTTGTCATCGACTCAGCAGCTGTGAGGAGGTATGCGCCGCTGCACATGTGAATGGCTGCATGTTTCTCCTCACAGCCGCCAGTGACAGCCAGCAGCCTGAAATGCCATAGCGACCCAGGCGGCCTGCACGGCATCAGGGGGATGTCCTGGCCGGGCCCCCCTGTGCCCAGGGGGCCCCGTAGCGGCAGCCTGGGTCGCTATGGTGATTTGTTAAGCCACTGACCAGTTTCTATATAGTGCTATCAACCATCCGGGAACTCAAACAGAGCCCTAGATAACGGGGAGTTATACGTTTTGTGAATGTTTCTAATCTGTGGGGAGCTGTTCATTTTGTATTGTGTCATGTAATTTATAATAAAGTTGTTATTTATTTTAATTTTTAATACTGTCTTTGTGATGCATTCGTTTCATGGGGTATCTTTCCTTGTGGGCTGCGGAATATGTTGGCGCTATATAAATAATTGTAATTGTTTTGTGTTCAGTTTTGCTTCCCTTGGTCTGCACACTTGGTGGAGCTGGTTAGTTTTTTCAGTATCAGCTACAGTATTTTATGGCACCCCGAGCATTCTGTTGCCACTGATGAATATACTTGCATTTTATATCATTCATACTCTGTGAACACTTATATTAACATTTTAAAATATTTCTGTTAACTTATTCATTAGGTCTCTTTGCATATCATTATGTAAGTTTTTTTAATGTTATTGTGAAGTTAGAAAACAGTTATGGATTGATTTTGGGGTTTTTATTTAAATATTTATCTAATTATTATTAGTATTTATATAGCCCTGACAATTTACGCAGTGCTTTACATAGTGCACATGCACATCAGTCCCTGCCCTCAAGGAGCTTACAATCTAAAGTCCCTATCTCGCATGCATACAGAGCCAATTTAGACAGGGGACAATTAACCTTCCAGCATGTCTTTGGAGTGACTCTTGAGTAAAACAAGATTTACATCCACTGCCTAAAAATTGTAACTACAGATTGTTATATTGACTCTTTGCTTCCCAGAACAAGGGCCCACCAACAGTACAAAAAGAAATATGATGCGCTGATACTTTAAATCGTATGACACAGATTCTGTGGCTCACAGAACAATGTTACACTGATTGGGGGGTACAGGACAGTGATACACTAAAAATTGGGGTTTCTACTTTAGTGTCACACTATCATTTTGGATCATGGCAAAATGACACACTAATATTTGGGGGTGACAGAACTATTACACACTGGTTCTGGGGGTCCTCAGGATGACCATATACTGACTCTTGGGGATACCCGAACAATGACACAGTGACACTTTGGGGTCCCAAAACAATGACATCTTGATATTGGGGATCCCAGAATAATGACAGGCTGAGACTTAGGGTCCCAGAACAATGCAGCACTAATATTTGATTGTCCCAGAACAATGCCACACTAATACTTGGCGGTCCAAGAACAACGATTCACTGATACTTTGGGGTTCCGGGAACAATGATTCACTGGTACTTTGGGGTCCAGGAACAATGATTCACTGATACTTTGGGGTTCCGGACCAATGATTCACTGGTATTTTGGGGTCCCGAAACAGTGGCACATTGATATTGGGGATCCCAAAATTATGATCGACTGACACTAAGTGTCCCATCCAATAACGATGCAACACTTGTATGTGGGGGCTCCAGAACAATGGCACACTGACACTTGGGGCCCCAGAAAAATGACACACTGATACTTGGGGCCGCACAACAATGACACACTGACACTTGACGCTCTCAGAACAATGACAGACTGACACGTGAGGGCCTCAGAATAATGACACACTGACACTTTGGGGTCCCAGAACAAAGACAGACTAACACTTAGGCCCCTGGAACAATGCAACGCTAATACTTGGGACTCTCAGAACAATTATATACTAATATTGGGGGGTGGACCCAGAACACTGACACACTAATGCTTAGGGATCCCAGATCAATGATACAGTGATACTTTGGGGTCCCAAAATAATGACACATTGATATTGGGGGTCCCAGAATAATGGCACACTGCCACTTGGGGTCCCAGAACAATGACACTTTGACATTTAGGGGCGTGAAACAGTGACACATTGACACTTGGGGTCCCAGGACAATTATACAATGACTTTTGGGGTCTCAGAACAAAAACACACTAATATTTCAGGTTACAGGCAAATAACATTCCCTGTTCTAAACATTTCCTTAAAAGGAAAACTCTTTTACAAAACCGTGTCTTGCAGTTATCAGCCTGAACTTTGAAATGCATTGTTCTCCTTGACCTCCACACAAACTTGCAACTTGTCATCTCACTGGGGAAAAGCGAGTCAGGAGGTCACATCGATGAGCCGTAAATTTCCTTCTTAGCTAGCGAAAGGGACACGTCTTAATGCCACCGGGTCACATGTCACAGAGACGCAGAACACAAAGCAGAAGACTAGTCCAGTACTTTTCACCCAGCTCTCCTCGTCTTCCAAAAACGACTAGAAAAATAGAGAAAGAAAAGGACTATTTTTTCCTGCAATCGGCCCCCAAGATCATGTTTACATTGCTCAGCATAATCTGTGCTTCAGTGGCAACTTTCATCCCCAGTGGTTTTCGTGTGAATTTGTTTCGGTTCTTGGCAGTCTCTGATCCTTGGGGAAAAGGGCCAGTGCAGAGAACATCAATTTACTCTAAAAATAGGGCAGCAAATATAGTCAGAGAAATCAAATTTGCTTTCTAAGTCTGCTGAATAAAAGCGAACAAAAAAAAAATGCATCTGCATTGAGCTGTGACCGGTGAGATACAGAGACTGATCTGAGCCGATTATCAAGGTAAAAGGGATATACGTTTGGCTGTATTGTAGTTGACGGCAGATTGCACCGCGAGTACAAATTGAATTCCGTAGCATGGGCTAGCTAAATTCATTGCAGTTCAATTTATCAAGGCAGCAATATTTTATGTTTTATGGGGCAACTCCATCCATAGCCAGTATTTTGTTAAAGATGAAATCCAGGCACAACGACTTTCATTAAAATACGTTCCTCAATAGCCACCCAAATATGACCTTGTAAAAGTAGCAGTGACATCATCACTGTGCCGCACATAGCCTGAGCAGAGCTGTCAGAGGGACCCAGCAGGTCCTTCCACTACAGGAGCTGAGAACTATAGGGAGGAATGCAAGGAGAGAGAGCAGAAGTAACCGATCTGAATTACATGAAGCTCATGCACAGAGGCAAACATTCTAAAAAAAGATTTGTATTGTGGAAGCTGTGCCCAAAAGCAATGAGAGGGCATTGGACTAGTCACCAGTATTGCCTGCAGACTCCCTTATGCTGAACTTTCTTTTCTGCATTCCTGACTTACCATGCCTTGACCTGCAATGTGTCTCTGTGTGGAGGTGGCCATCTTGGTAGAGGCAGGACTTTGCTTCCTCATATCAGAGCTGCCTCTTCGATGACTGCTTATCTGATGACTGATGGAGGAATACTTAAGCACAAGAGGTGGAGCAAGGACATATCCACACAATTAATGAAGCAAGGGAGGTCCTTGCATTGCAGGTCCTCAGGTACAGATTCCCCTCCAGCAAACAGAACATTGAACGGATGATCTCACACTGCGGAAATACAGCGATGAGGCTCAAGGCACAGGATTGCCACGGCACAGAAAGTGCACTGCTGAGTTTCAGGAGTAATTCAAGATAAAAGTTAGTTTTTTGGGGATTCTGCTAAACATCTCTAAGTGATTCCTATAAGATAGCTCTGTATACTAAAGTGCTAACAATAAATAATGCTTAGTTCTCTACATCCAATAAAACATAAAAAGTGCTCCGCAACTCTAACTCTCTCCCTCTCTTTCCTTTTCCCTCTCCCCCCCTCTCTCTCCCTCCCTCTCTCTCTCTCCCTCCCTCTCGCGCGCTTTCTCCAGCGCTCTCTCTCTCTCTCATTAGATGTGTATTTCATGTATTTTGTGCATGTCATTTACATGTAAACTCGCCGGTGTAGATATCCAAAAACCCTTTTGATGTAATGTCAGCAGCCCCAGCACATTTAGAGCACACACTCCAGCTGTGGTGAAACTACATATTCCATCATTCATCTGCCACTGGAAGTCATGCCTGTGGCTGTCAGTGTCTTGCAATGCCTCATGGGATTTGTAGTTTATCCACAGTTTGGGGGCCGGTTTTTGGATACCCCTGATCTACAATATTCCCCTTGGCTCCTCCCCCTGCAGCTACAAAAAAAAAAAGGTTATTTATATTTCAGTTTTCTGTGCTTTTACTAGCAATTTTTTAAAGTTGGTGCCAAGGTCTTTTTAAGTTGAAACGGCCATTTTATTTTTCCATTAATGTTACATTGTACAAGTTTACTGCTTCTGTCCCTGACGATA